GGTGTTTGTAACAGCTACTTCCGCCGGTATTCCGTATTGTTAATCGGATTTTGTGAATCTTTGGTTTCTTTTTTTCCCTTTAAGTAACCAATTATTATTGGGAAGAGATAGATGAAAACCCAGGCTTGTTTTGGTTGTTTATTCATCATTCTCAATTATAGTGAAGCTGAAGACACAACATTTTGCGCGGACTTTTAGAAACTGAGGCTGTATTTGGTTGCAGAGCAAATTTATTTATAATAGTACAAATGCATGGGAGTGTAAATGTAAAAAATGCAAATTCTTGATTAATTTTGTTTTGTATTTTACTTTATTCTGCTTCACGTCTTAATTTATTTCATTTATACTGCAATCAAACAGAATAAGCTAAAATTTGAAACAAAATTGGTCAGAATTTACACCCAAATCATTTGCAATGCCATGGTTTTGTATCAGTGCAAATTTGATGACTATGGTATGGTATAGGTTAAATGATCTTCTGTTTCTCTTTCTTTCTTCGTGGGTATTAATGAATACTAATCTTTTGATGACTATGGTTAATTCTTCTAATGGCCTAATGGATATAGACAAGAAAAGATGCCTGTATAGGTGTCTTCCCCATTTCTCTCTCAATAATTTCTATGCAATTTCTCTTCTGGAATCTGGATTGTGCTTTCAGTTAGCTAAAAAGACCAATGGACTGGTGTTCTAGTTGACTTGAACAACTCACATGGATTGAAGAAATCTGGCAATTGACTTTCTTCCCACTTTTTAATGATCTGTTTGTTAGACGCTGTTTACATCTCGGTGGTTTCTCTAATTATCTTTTCATTTCCTTGCTAATTTTGAATCATTTCATGTGTTTGTCTTCTCTTTGCAGCACTAACTCCGGAGCTGAAGAGTACATTGGATAAAGTTGTTACATCACACAAAGTGGTCCTTTTCATGAAAGGAACCAAGGAATTTCCTCAGTGTGGATTCTCAAATACTGTTGTGCAGATACTCAAGTCCCTCAATGTACCGTTTGAAACGTTGAATATACTAGAGAATGAAATGCTACGTCAGGGATTAAAGGAGTACTCCAACTGGCCAACTTTTCCTCAACTCTACATCGACGGGGAATTCTTTGGTGGCTGCGACATCACTGTTGGTAAGTCCATTTTGTTCTCGTGTTTTCATCATTACATGAGGGCAGTGTCGGTTGATACCACTTATCAATATCAATAGATCACCAGGAAAAAAATACCACCCGTCAATGACAAATAGTTTCTGGAGCTCTTTGAGTGATAAGATGCTGAAGCTACCAGATATTAGTAGGCAGATCATTAAACGCTTCAATTCATTGTCTCCGTGTCAAGTCTATTGAAAACAGATTCAACTTACTTCACAGTTTAGGGAATGATGCTTTTGAAGCAGAAAGGGCTGAGCAGCATACTTATTTACAAATGTTTGTCTTTTGCTAAGCTTCTAAGAATTTATTTCTCAAAAAAGGTTCAACAAAAGCTGAATTATGTCTTAGTGAAATTTTATTGTTTGTCAGACTAATTTTCCAGTTGTCGTATGGATATGAAATTTAATGAAGGATTTGTTGATGGGAGCCATCATTATTTTAGTATTTATCTAAAAAGGGCATCTGATACAGGTATGAGATTAGAGATCTGACACAGTACAAAGTATTGGTGATGTAGGAAGGGAAGAGAGTGCCTTGTAGATTTAGCATTGGTGAGAAGGGTGGATTATAGACAAAGAAAGTTCAATCTGGGAAACATTTGGAAAGATGAGAGAAAGGGAGTAATTTCATTTCTATATTTTAAATCTGTATCACTGTATGACTTAATAGGAATAAGATATAGAGAAAAAAGTTCAAATCTGTATGTAGAAGGAAAGTAGAGAGATGACCTTACACTTTTAAAAAAGGAGAGAAGATAGAAAAGATTGGGCACACCTTGCAGCAACCAAATTCAATTTCTTATTTCATACTCGAATCTCACTCACTATCCAATTTATAAAAACACATTTATAGACTACAGGAAGAGAAAAGATAGAAAAGATAGGACACACCTTACAACAACCAAATTCAAATTCTTATTTCATACTCGAAACTCACTCACTAGCCAATTTAGAAAAGCACATTTATAGGCTATAGGGCGTGAAAAAATAGAAAAGACAAGGAGCACTGCACGCCTTACAACAACCAAATTCAAATTCTTATTTCATACTCAAAACCCACTCTCTAGCCAATTTATAAAAGCACATTTATAGACTATAGGAAGAGAGTGGCTAACCTACTTTTTTTCTTCAAATAAAACTCAAAGAATATAAACTTGAAACTGAGTCTTGTCTCCATTGATACCCCTACCAATGAAATGATCATTGCTTTCCAATTCATATTGGATTTAGAAGATCCTGGTTTCATTAGATAGGTAATCTAAAAGCCTCTTCATAGACACCAAAATCAAGCAAAATGGACATGTTTTAACCCCTTAAAAAATAAGCAGAAAGAAAAGTTATGTGATAGCAGTAGGGTTAGAGTCAAAGTAAGGAATTTTCCCTTGCTAGGGGCAAAGCAAATGTGATAAGATTCTCTTTAATTGAAAATTCCTTTTTTATTGTATAGAGTTCTTCTAAGAATTGAAGAAAAATGTATACGGGAAGCATTTCAGGACCTACATAGATGTTTTTCTTAATTCATTTTTTGGAGCCATTACTAACATTTTGCCATTATACAAACAATTTTATCATTATATTTATATTAGTATTTCTCCTATTTGATGTTGAATTGTATCTGTACTATATATAAAAGTGTGGATGCAAAGTGAAAGTTCTTTTGGACTAAAATTACCTCCTATTTCTTTGTTTGAGAAATGGTATAAAAATCATTTTATTACAGTTTTAATGGCTACTAAAATGCCCATATTTGTGTATTTAGTACATCTCTCATTGTAAGGGTTGAAAATGTAACTTTAATTATTAGTTTTCACCTCATTTAATCCCCTCTCATTAAGTCTTATACTTAAGGTATTAACTCCCATTTTCTCTTATTAAATCCTATATTTAAGTTATTTTTCACTAATAAATGCTACTCAATATATCTATGTCAATATTTTCTACATTCTTTATCCGAGTGGTGGCTAAGCAATTCAACCATCTGAATCAAATTGGTTAACCTATGAAGTCATATATAGGTAATATTTTTTTAAATAGAAATAAATATAAAAATTACAAAAAATGTAGAAAAAATTTATTAGGCACATTTATGATATTTTTATTAATCAAATTAAAAAATAAGTGTAATAAACAAGAATTATTTTTATTGTTAGTGAAAATTAAATACATAATTTAGAATTGACCAAAAATGAAATTACTTTATTATTTGGCAAAGATCAATAATTCAACTTTTGGGTCAAATGTGTTAACCTTTAATGCCATAAATAATAAAAAAAATAAAAAAATACATAAATTTTGCAAAAAAAAATTCAGGCACATCTGCACATGTATAATTTCGTATATTTATCATATTAAACAAAAAGTAAGTGTGACATACCAGAATTATTTTTACACAAAAATACAAAAAAAAATATAGAAAAAATTGAACACATCTATAATTCTATATTTACACTACTATTAAAAACATGAATAAGATCGTGGAGCTTTTTTTTAACTAAAATACTCATTTATGAATTTAGCCCCTATTTAATTAGTGAGGTTTAAATTGTAAAATGAACTACTACTCTTCACCTCATTTAATTCCCTCTATTTAAATCTTACATTTTCTTTTTTTTTTGATAAATGATTGAAAATTTATTCATGATAATCAGAATGATATTACAATACAGCCTGCCCAAAGGAGAGGCACGAGCTGATACCTCTCCACAACAACAAAGTACTACCTCAAACTAGGAAAAGAAAGTTTACAGCGCTGCCCAAAATAAATGTTCCCTTGATACCCCTTGTTTAGCTAACCCATTTGCTATGGTATTAGCTGTTCTACCCACCCACTGATAATTAGCAGTCATGTTCCTTGAAAACCAATTAGCTTTCCTCATAAGATCGCTGTAGCACCAAATAACTGAAGCTGGATTTTTTAACCAGCCCACAATGACTTTGGAGTCTCCTTCAATAAGCAAATTCTGAACTCCTAACTGGTTTGCAATCTGAATACCTTGTACTGCCGCTAGAAGCTCAGCTCTAATAGAGTTTCCTATACCCATGGAGCCTGAGAATAAAGCTAATATATTACTATCTTTATCTCTCAGCACCCCACCTATCCCTGATGGACCTAGATTTCCTTGGCTGCTACCATCAAAATTCAGCTTTGTCCAGTCTTCTGAAGGAGGCACCAACATAGCTGGTACCTTGTTCTTCCTGTTACTGCTACTAGCCACAGAAATCCAATTCCTCCAAATCTTACATTTTCTTTAATAAATGAACAAAAAAAGGATACGCAAAAAAGATAAAACATTACAAAAAGAAGTTTCTAGCCAAGTAGGCCTGTCAATGATACTTGAAAATTCACAACTTGATCCGATTATCACATATTTGGATGAGGTGTTTATGTATTCAGATTTGGATTTTGTAATCTGCATCTGATTAATAATAAAAAACAAAAAAATAAGAAATACATATTGTTTATAGAAAATTTTGGATACATTATTACTATCATTATCATCATCTAGAACTATCACGTGCAAAGCACATGCACACTTAATAGTTCATTTAATGAGGCATCTAAATGAATTTGAATGAATCTGGTGGGGAGTCCAGAATCAGACAATCAGTTATAAAAGGGATAACATTTAAAATAAAAAGAAAAAAGGTAATGCAACACAAATTAAAACACAGTAAAATTTTTGCAAAGAAAAAAAGAGGAATAATTGCTTGGATCAATAATGATGATGAAACAGGAAAAATTGCTTTTGACTGTCATTAATGGAGAAAGATAGATTGCTTGATCTTATGAATTTCAAGGGCTGGGGTATTTTAAAAGTGACACCTCAAGTAAACTTAGGCTAACAAGTGAGGTTCTTTTTATGGGTTGAACCTTGCCTGAACATGGATGTGCCTCACCTAGCTTGTTGCTATATTTTGATGAATTAACCTTGAATTTGAAGTTGAATATGTAATCTTGTATATTATACAGTATACTTATGATGCTTAGAGTTTAAATGCTTTAGTATAAAGGCATGCATGTACAAGACTACAACCTTTATGCTAATAACTACCATATTCTAATCATTAGAGCTAATAGCCTAATAGGCTTTTGAAATATTTTATATCTTCCAGAATTTAGATTTGCATACTCTAGTATGTTAAGTTTCCTTTTGTTTACTCCTTCAGGAGTGGTGTCTCACCTTTTCCTTTTTCTTATTGTTAGCAATTGAAACTTTATTAGTAT